GGTGACCACCGGTATATTATTATTATTATTATTATTCCGCTCTAGGATTTCATTTTATTTGATCATCATCGAATGATACTTAACGAATAAACAAAAGAGTTAACCGTGAGAACAAGCCAACTGTAATAGAACGATTCTATTTAGATTCTAATCTTTCTCTTATCACACATATTTGCTATTAAATTTTCTCTCGAACATTCTTAGAAAACTTTTCAACTTCTCTATGTGATTAGAATAAGATACGCGTTTCTTACTTTGTGTGCTACGATCTGATTTTAGATTTTGATTGGAAAGATAAATATAATATCTTTATATTACATTAGTGAAATGTTTAGATTAGAGATTTAGAGAGAGAGAAACAGATAGAAAAAATACAGAAGAATCGATTTGAAAAGGAAAAGTTGAACTACAACAAGGGTTACTTAATCTCATGTAAAATTCACCAAAAACATCCCTTTTCGATGTTAGTTTCTCGAATCACAGGGAAAATCTTCTTCTTTCGATTCGAAACGAGATTTTTCCCGTATCAGGGTGACGAAGTCACGCTTTCCGATCGGATAATCGTGTTCTCTCTCTCTATCTTCAATTTCCTAGAAGAAAGTGCAATCGTTCGCAAAAGAAAAGAGAAATAAAAAGAAAGTGATAGAAGACAGAAAGAAATAAATAAAATCCTTGTGTCGTGGCTAGAAAACAAGACAGACTAAAGATTGCCACAAACCGAATAATTCATCACGAGATTCTCACTGAATCCCTTTTTCTGTAGTATGTAACTTTTAAGAAAAGGACTTTCGTTCTATCAAACGCGTGTCTTTGGAATCAAGTCTCGTCTCGATTTGTTACTTGGTGCGTATTTTAAAACCACTTTTTCTAAAGTGTACCATCTTATTGTGTTTATCTTTTAAAGGATGGTACTTGACTGATATACTGTAAATTATAAATTAGTTTTAAATTATACAAGACATATTGGAGAGACGATAATTTTTGTTGTTATTCAATTAAATAATGCAATACTATTGCTAATATATTAATTATTATGAATTTTAATATTAAACATGTAAAATTACAATTAATATGTCTTAACGGTGTACAGCAAAATCCGAATTCTTTAAATAATATTTATCTATGTTAATATACATTTTTAATTAATCAGATTAATTTTCATAATTTTGGAAATTATTTTATAATCAGAGTAAAATAATAATACTACTATCTATAAAATTGAAAATATTACGGACGATTGAAAAATGATTTTACTTTACGGATAAAACCCGGGATCGATCAAAGATTAAAAACAAGTAAAGTAGTTTTTCCTATCGGAATGGTTTTATTCTACGATTCAACGTAGCGAAGTAAGTGAAAACTTTTGAGAACGTCCACACAGACGACGACAACTACGACGACGACGACGACGACGACCAGAATTAGGTAACTAGCAAACTTACAATTAGACAATTCTATTCAAGCTGAAACTTCAACCGTTAGCGGTGCCATTTCAATGAAAAGATTTCCATCGATTTGGTATTCCACCGATTCATCCTACAAAGCTCGATTCAATTCCGCCAGCTAGATATCACGATTTCAAACAGTTCTTACTCATCTTCTCGTCCTTCTTGATAAATCCAAAAAAAAAAGAAAGAAAAAAAAATGAAAAAAAGATTAAAAAAAGAAAAAAGAAAAAAAAGAAAAAGGGAAAAAATTATTCAACATTTTAACGAATAGCCGGTACGACCATTCGGTTTCATCCCCCCCCCCCTCCCCATGAACGTAAGAGAGATAGGATAAGTATTTGTCGAAACGGATCTTTCCAAACTTTTATCCATAATCCATAAAGTCCACTCACAGTAGTTCAAGGATCCACCCACGTTGAAATCCTTCAAACTTTTATTTCGCGAGAGAGAGATCCTTTTAATAAGAAATATTCTCGAACGCGCTGCTTTTAATTATTTTCTTCGATTCTCATTCGCGTTCCCCATCACCCCACACCACCCCCTCCTCCCACCTCCATAGACACGAAAAATCGAACTGTACTAAGTGAGTCTGAAATTAAGAAGAAGAAAAAAAAAATAAAGTGAAAAAAGAGAGGGAGGAGGAGGAGGAGGATAGGTAGGGGCCCTGGAAGGGATCCTTCGAAGGACGAAAATGAGTCAGCTTTTCCACTATGGGAGGATTCTCAAGAGAGTACGAAAGAAGAGGCTTCCTCGTCTCCTAATTAATTCCATCACCGTTCCCCCCTCTTACTTTTCTTTCTTTCTTTCTTTTCTTTTCATTCTATCTTTCTTTTTTTCCTTCAATCTCTTTCACTTTCCCTCTGTTTCTTTCTCGTTTTCATCCTTCCACGATCTACTTACCCTACTGTTCTCTCTTACCTACTTTCAAGATTGCGAACAAGTTCGTTTCCTGTAGAGAAACGATAGGACAATGGTAGAAAGGATTGGCCCTTTTCTTTTTTTTTTTTTTTTTCTATTCCTCTTTTTTCCCTTTTCCTTTTTTTCTTCTTCTTCTTATTCTCGTAAAAATCAGTGCTAACCACGAAAATGCATGTCCGTCCAAGCGAGGGCGTCGAGATAACTTTGAAAAGTGCTCGGCAACACCTAACACACAGACAAAGAAGAACGGATGAAAGAAAGAAAGAAAGAAATAAAGAGAAAAAAAGAAAGAAAGAAAGAAATGAAAAAAGGGACAAAAAAAAGACAAGGGGGTAGGAGGGGTGGGTAGGGGTAGGAACCTCGACGATTCCTTGCAAAAATAAAAGAGAAAAAAAAAAAGAAAAAGAGAATACGCGAGATAAAGATACGACGTGGGGGTGGGAGGATTGGGGGAGGGGGGTAACGTAGACGACGTAAAAAATAAGGGTGGCATGGGGGATAGGAGTAGGGAACGGGGAGGGGGAAAGATAAAGAAAAAGAATCGACTTAAAGAGACTAGTAACTGGGGTGGGAAGAGGGTGGGAAAACGGGAATGTGAAAAAAAAAAAATAAAGAAAATAGAGAGAGAGAGAGGGAAAAGAAAAAGGTAGATATATGTTCGAGAGAAACGGAATGAAATTTGCATCGCAAAATCGTTCTGTTTACATCTCCTTTCTTCCCTTTACCCCACCCCCGCCCCCCGTCCCCCTTACCGCCGCGTCTACTTTTCATTCTCTCTCTTTCTCTTTTTCCGTTCATGCAGGGTAATGACAGTACTCTGGCATGTGGAATGAAGAAAAGAAAGGGAAGAACGTACCCTACGTTCGTTCGTTCGTTCGTTCGTTGAACAGGAGGAGAGTCCGCTTTTTTACTTCTTTCTTTTTCTTTCTTTCTTTCTTTCTTTCTTTCTTCTTCTTTTGTGTCTCGTAGGCTTGTTTGTTCTGCACGGGTTATCGAGTGCATACAAAAGCATCGACGAAGTCGCATCTCGTCTAGCTTCTTTGTCTCCCCCCCGACCCCTCTTTTGTCCCCCTCCTAGAAAGATCCCATGTTCCCTTTCCATCATCGATTCACTTCAATTGGTACGTAGTAGTAGGTTCGTTCGTTCGTTCGTTCGTTCGTTCGATGGGCAGACCAGATTTTTCCATAACCAAGCCAGAGAGTAGCTGCTCCGCTTTGACAAATCGATGAATGAGATAAAAAGATAAAGTAGGGGATCACTTTCAACGTTATAACATACATAAGAGGGGGTGGGAGTCTTTTGTGTAAGTGCATATATTATATTAGTCTCATAAAACGCGAGGTGGGTAAGATTAAAAAAGGTTTCATATTAAGGTTGCTCTTTACAAAAGAATTTTCATTAAAGAGTGAAAAATAATAAATGTGTTTTTTTTATATCGATTTGACAGTGGGTTTACATGTATATTTATATATTATTAATATTATATTATAACAAACGATTTTTATTAACGATTAATAAAATTTCTCATTGAATATTTGTCACTTGTAATATTTTGTTAAATAAGAAAACAAAAAAGGAAACTAATAATAATAATAATAATAATCTATCTACGTCGTGTGTATACTCCATTTTTCTAGTATCTTTTTTGTTTTTATCTTTATATTTTTGATACGTGTTTCGTGTCGTTGTCCTAGTTTTCAAATAGAAAAGGTAGGCACCACCAATCTTTCTATATTCTCTCTTCTCTATCTATGGGGATAGAAGGTGAACGACATTCGCGTCTTTCTACCTGCGTAGTTACGTACATTCGAGGAAACTTTCAATGTGGGTCGACGCGGTTGGAATATCTTGCAGTTTCCAAGCTAAGTCCGGACTCGCGAGATACGAGGGGATTGCTTCACTGGAGTATGGTGTATATAAGTACCAAGGACGATGATGATGGTGCGCGTGTCTCTCTACATTTGCCTTATGTAAGCGTACCCGTTTCTATGTAGGTACCTGTACAACATTTCTCTGACTACGTGTGAGCCGAGTATAAATGGGACCCCAGGATAGGAGGAGAAGGATCTAACGGGCGTTGCTGCGACCTCGCATTCATCGAATAAAATAGTTTTCACCCCCTCTCTTTTTCTCAAGGTGTAGACATATATCCTTTCTCTCTCTCTTTCTCTCTCTCTTTCTTTTTATTTTTGTGTATGCTCGAATGAAAGAATAAAAGAATATATCTTATCGATACTATACTGATTTTTAAGCTTCCATAAAACACGTTTCCTTTTTATTTTTCTTTTTCTTTCAACCCTGTCACACATAAATAATATGTTAAAATATATATATAAGAAATTTATGTTATACCTTATATATATATATACTCTTATTCGAATATTTTTTCTTAAAATAATTAAAAAGTTTTTTGCACGAAGATTTGAATCAATAGAAATATAAACGAAACGACAAAGTTAAACTTTCTTAGTAACTTTAATATTTGCGATATCTAGATAAGGGAATACGGTTCGAAGTTTTAGACTAGCAAAGGATTCGTATCAATCTAAGTCTCTTTTGTTTAAACATTATGATCTAATAATATAGTTGTGTGTGGTACTTTAGATAACGTGTGATATTTATTTTGTGTACAGGTTATTGGCGGACAATTAACAGTTCGTCGAAGTTAAAAGTATGCCAGGGACATGCTCAATGGCCGAACCGGTTCAGGATCGGCAATAGTCAGTGATGACGAACGTCTCGTTTGGAACGGTGCGTCCAGGTCGATGGCCCAGGTCGTCGGTGACATGTCGGTTTTTGCTCTAGTTTCGAATTTATCTTCGAACCATCGAAGACTACTACTCATTGCCATTTTTATTCTGTCATCGATACCGTGCTATCGATGCTTGGATTTGGGTAAGTTCATCAGAGATCATTTTTAAATAATTTATATTTTAATATATATAATTAAATAAATATATTTAGATTTATATTTTAACAAAAACAAATTTCTTTTGTATTACATTTTGAACGTTGAGAAAAAAATTATTACACTGCATGATGTTTATATATTTTTGCTTTTTTTCTTTATTTATTTCTTTCTATTCTATTCTATTACATTTTAAAAATCACGTTGCATACACATACAGAAGGAACAATGAATTGAGAAACGTGCACAGAAATGTACACACGTAGTACACTCGTAGGATAAGTATGCCATGCATCGTCCCTGAGGTACTTTCCGTTTGTAGGAAGAAAGTTATAACCGTACACTGGAATACAATTTATTCCTTGGAATTTTCTTTGGTTTCTTTAAGCACACGTTTTATACGTGGTTAGTATTCAATACTATTAATGGATCGATGTGCAAGAAATTCTACGAGTTTCAAATTAAATGATATATTTTAATATATAATTATATTATTATTAATTTGTTTTCATACCCATACACGAATTTTTTTCGGAACGTATAGTAAATTGTTTTATCATTTTTATTATTGAATTACCATCTGTTTTAAGTACAATAAATTTAGATTGAAATAACGCGCGCGCGTTTGTGATAATTTAACGAGATAAATTATATTGTTATTTGATTAATTGAATTTTCATTATAAGTAAACATTTATTTTACGCTACACTTACAATTATTATAAATAGTTATATTTTTTTCGCCGGCCCCCTCTGACCCCCTAAAGTTAAAAAGCAAAGTGAACGTTTCTCATAAAACGAACGCACGAGTTCCTCTCTTTCTCTCTCTCTCTCTTTCTCACGCATCTGCCAGCTTGGAGTGCTATTGTACCCACGCAAATGAAATGTCAGCCGCACGATGAATTAACAATACTATCTAATAGCTGCTCAGACGCAGACGAACGGCCGAGTGTCATTGTGCTAAATCGTTCTCACGTGGCATTGACTATGTATGCGACTGAGCTTGCTTTCTTGCTTGCTTGCTTGCTTGCATCCCCCTCCTTGCATTATTTTTCTTTCCTTTTATTTTTACCTTATTTCTTTCATCCACTTTAAGGCGAATTAATCAACTGAATAAAATATCAACCATATATATATATATAAAAGAAAAAAAAAATAAGTAGTACAATTAACGTGGAATCAATACTTTCCTTCGAATGAATAAAAATGAATCAATTTTTTTTCTTTTCTTTTTTTCCAACGTGATTTTTATCCGAGTGAAAAAAAGAAAAGTAGGAAAAGTTGAAAGGAATGAGCTTGGTCGTATGGAATGAATGTATACAATGGAACATAATAGGTATTAATAAAATCAATTAACTTGAAAATCGATAATATCCCAAGAGAGTAAGAGAGAAAATGAGAAAAAAATCCAGAAGAATTCCATATCTGGGTTTGAGTATTTTCTAAGGCACACGACAATCCATTGTCGTAGGACGGGAAAAGCGTTTCGTTCTAAAATATCATACCGGTGGACCGCCTATCGATCTCGTTCAATGACGTGTAGCACACGTATACACAGAGAGTAGTTCTGTGTGATGGGAACATATCGATCGTGTCGCGATTCGTTCGGACCATTTGTTATGCACGCGACGTGTTAAAACGCGTTGCGTCTAGAACGTCGCGACACGTCAAAGTGACTTATTGCTTTGGGACATGAGACCCAGTCGCGTTGCTTCGTAATGGTTATCAATCCGTACCACGAACTGAACTTTCTTCGTTTATGCTCGATATAAAACGAGTAAACTAGCTAGCTAGCTAACTAGCTAGCTTACTATTCGAAATGTATCTACCGTATTAAACAGATTACGCGTACAATCTTTGATTTCATCACTCAACGAACAGTTGGATGGATGGGTGGGTGGGTGGATGGTTGAATGGATTAGAGTTTCAATGACGTCATCCAAAAATCACATGTTGAATTATACGAGAAATTTCTAGTTTACTCAGAATTATTCTAAGCTCTACATAATACATAAGCTTTTGGTAGAATATAACTAGCGAGAGACTAGTTGAGTATGTTATAAGTACTTCTATTTGTAGAGAAACTTCGGTATTCGTTGGAGTTTAACGAAAGGCTTGCATATCACAACAGCTAGTTTAGTCACTCAAGAAACAATAGGGGGAGCTTCAGGAACGATTTCTGATCTAGTTCCACCTAACCAAAACCTTTATCATTGAAGTTACTGTGTTGTAATCAGGCTAGTGCTTAATGGAAACATTGGAAGTCGAACGGATAGACTAGAATGCAAGTATGTAGATCCATGCATCTATGATATATCCACTAGGTTCTCTGTAAGGTTAGGTAAAACAACGTAAAGCATTGTTACAAATACTCACAAAGTTATATTCCGATGGTGTAGTATGGGAGACGATATGAGAGGAGATAGCAACAGGGGTAGAAAAGAGAACGAGGTGGGGGCTGTGGGGGCCTGGGGAGGAAGGTTGGGGGCTGGGGGGAAAGTGTACGAAGGTAACCCAGCAGGATAGGTCGCGCGAAGAGCCGTCCGGCTAATCCCACGTCCGCTGCATTCTGCAATTTTGAAACTTTGCCACGTAACTGCAGAACCGTAGCTTAAGTGCAACGGCGTATCGCAACTTGCTGTTGCTAACCCTCCCCTACCCCTCGACACACCCTCTCCCTCCCCGCCCTACCCTTTATCTTTCACTCTCTCTCTCTCTCTGGTTGTACATGACTTCCCTGCAAACTCGACGATTTATCATGGGGTACTTGCCTACCTGTGTGTTACCAACGTTTTCATCGTCACAACCTCTTGTCCTGCCTCCTCCTCTACTATCATCCTCTCATCCACGGAAACGTTAGCTCATATAGAATGGAACAAAGCTAGGCGCGATAGTATTATCTGTATTTGTAATTCGTTATCTCGTTTGAACTTGATTACTATCGCGTAACTTGAGTATACACGGTTAACTAAAAGCATTTACGTAATTAATTTGCATAGATGCTCTCACTCACTCTCACTTTCTCTCTATCTCTCTCTCTCTCATTCTGGTCCTATATACTTGTGTCATAGACTCAGCACAATCAGTTAGAAGTTAACGACGTACAGATTGACATTGATCTCTGGTTTAATACAGGTCCTCCAATTGTTTCAGGACAATGCACCAACGCTCTGGGCATGGAGAGCGGTGAAATCCCCAATGAAGACATCACGGCAAGCTCCATGTATGATCCCAGTCTTGGGCCGAAGCATGCTAGGTAAGGGAAGAACAATGGTATCACGTATAATCCAATGTTTGTGTCGAACGCCCAACACAAAGTGGTCATTTTGTTATAACCCATAGAGAAAACGAATTCCATTCTCCTCTATCTTTCTCTCTCTCTCTCTCTCTCTCTCTCTCTCTCTCTCTCTCTCTCTCTCTCCGTCCTCTATCCTTTATCTCTTACACGGTAACGTTAATAAATGGGTACGTTTTTAGTTGGACTCGTAATTGTTTCCATACGAATTCGTATCGGTCCTGGAATACTTTTGTTGCATGAGAATTCAACAATTATTCATGATACCCATTGCACCGCGTCGGTATTTATCCCACTTTTTATTACTTTATAACTTTTAAAGCCCATACCATTCGATAAATAAATTATCCCTCTGTCTCTTTTATTATTTTATTATTTCTCTCGATCTCTCTCTCCATACATATGTATATATATATCTACAAACAAACATAAAGGCATCGATCGAACGTTATAACGAAATTTAATGAATAAAGAGCGTTTATTCGGAAAATCAGTCGCGGATATTCTAAATCAGTTTGACATCGATCGGTCTAGACGCAAGACAATTTGTTGCGGTCTCGGGGACGAGAATATGCGATAAAATATTGACTTTAATAACCGGGAATAAATTTGATCCTTGATGAATCGCGTTAATACGCCGAGCCAACCTCAGACCAAAAGTAAACCTTCAATAATCAATTCTCGTAACTCCTCTTCGATACGGCGAACGGTAAACGGGGCGGGGGGAGAGGAATACGGTTGATATGCTAGGTCAATCGAATAAAAAAAGAAACAAAAAAAAGAAAGAAGAAAAAAAATCTTCTTCTTCTTCTTCTTACGGATTGTTCAGAGGGAAGGGGGACAAAGATAAATCTTTTATTTGTTGTCCTATATAAGTTCGACGCGAGTGGTCATATTTTAATTAACGGCAGGGACCATAAATTAGGAAGCGTATGTGGTACGTTACCTATAGAGCAGGTGCATTCAATTAGATAGCCTTTGCTGGAGTTACATATCGTGAGGACGGGTTGGTTGCTGCTGGAGCCGTAGGCAAACGGGCACAGGAGGCAGCCACAGTGCGGCACGAATCCCCGAGCGAGAGATAGAGAGAGAGAGAGAGATAGATAAAGAGAGAGAGAGAGAGAGAGAGAGAGATAGATAAAGAGAGAGAGAGAGAGAGAGAGAGAGAGAGAGAGAGATAGAGCACACGTAATAGAAGATAGGGTGAGGAGGATACGCGTTCGTGTATACCTATATAGACATGTTTGTGTATATATGTGTGTGTGTATGTACTCGAGAGAGAAAGGAAGACGGTTGTAAGCATAGACACAGAGTGGGAAGGTGGATGGGGGTGAACAGAGGGTGGAACGAGCTCGACTCCTACAAATTACCTCCAATTTCGTGTAAATTCCTGGTGCCTGCGTCAGCGTAATACCTGTATTAGGACGCCCAGCTCCGGCTCTTAGACGGCAATAAATCTGTATTAGGGCGAGTCGCAGCTCCTATTCGCAAAAGGGCAAACCCTACGGGGGTAGGACGTGACTGGTTAATTTTTCAGAGATGCCATTTGTCCGATACCAACCAACCAACCAACCAAACAACCAACCAACCAACCGATTGGAAAAAAAAGAAATCTTTTTCGTATTAGCCCTCGTTATCTTTCATCAACGGACTCGTTCGCTATCTATTCTCAAAGTACGTATTCGATTATGATAAAAAAAAGGAAGAAGATTCGATCAATAAAAGGTCAAAGTGCTAACGGGTGGTATTACCCTGTATACTTGACACCTTAAGTTTATTTTTCTTTTCTTTTTTTTTTTTGTGTGCGTGTAACTATACGACTTCGGCAAAAGAATACTTTTTAGAAAAAGTTTTCGTGTCAATGTATGAAGAGTATATATGTGTGTGTGTGTGGGTGAGAGAGTAAGGTATGTAACTACCCTGGTTGAGAAACATCGAAGAAAAGAAGATAGAAAGAATTCTTATAACCAATATACTCGAAAGAAAATAAAAAAATGAAGAGGATAGATCTGTGAGAAGTAAGAAAAAATAAAAGAAAAGAGAAAAAACTATTGAACGCGCGAAGAGAATGCCATAAGTAGAGAATGAAAATATAATATAATAGTAGCGTGACGAGTTGGATTCTTCAACAAGTCGTGAAAGTGATAGACAAGTGTAGAATGATGGTATCGGTAAGCATCAGACAAACATAAAAGCGTCCTATAAACATAATATCGTCGTTTTTTCACTGTTGAAGAATATCCGAACAAGAAAAATGGATACGGGGATATTCTTTTCTTCTCAAGTTTGTATCGACACACCAACCCAGTACCATCCTACTTTGTTACCATTTCCAAAATTCATTTTTCGCTCCGATGATTTATGAAAAAAAAAAAGTATAGCCAACATTCTGTACTCTCTGTTTAATCTTTACGATTAAAAAAAAAAAGGAAAAAGCAACACAAAAAATAAATAAAAAGAAAAAAAAAAAAAAAAAAAAAAAAAAAGGAAAAAAAAAAGCCACGCCATTAGTCAGAAAGCCACGGTGATATATGTTACACGAGGTTGATAACGCGTGAAAAATAAATGTGTCAGTTTTTATTAACTGTGGACANAAAAAAAAAAAAAAAAAAAAAAAAAAAAAAAAAAAAAAATAAAAAGGAAAATAAAATGCCACGCCATTAGTCAGAAAGCCACGGTGATATATGTTACACGAGGTTGATAACGCGTGAAAAATAAATGTGTCAGTTTTTATTAACTGTGGACATACGAAACAGAATGATCACATATGTTAACTAACGGAATTCGCACTTTATATACGAAAAATCTACTCAACCATATAAACTCATATCGTGGATTTTATTTTAATTTCCTCTACAAGATAATAAAGAGAGAAAGATAGATAGAGAGAGAGAAACAGAGATATATCGCTAATAAAATATTATTATTTATTCTCTATTATAAAAAAAATACACACATATATAACATATATAGATATATCTTTTTTGTTGTTGTAATATATTATATAAAGAAGAGTATTATACAATATATTATCAAGCTCAATATCAGTACTTTCATTTTCTTTATTGGTGTTGTATATATATATATATATGTGTGTGTGTGTGTGTGTGTGTCTATCGAGTACCACAGCATAGTAGCTATCGATCTCCTATATTTCTCCCTTCATAACATCACGAGCAGCGACGTTTATCTTGGACATTCTACACAGTTCACCCTAACCCCCCACCCCTTTTCCCCCATCCCCCTTCACCGGTCTCCTTTTTTGTACACCAGCACTGAATTCACATACATTTCATTGACATAGCACGCGCCGCTTTGTAACCGTAGGAGGGCCCACTTTACATAGAATGTTTCACTTGAATAGATAGAAAGAGAGAGAGAGAGAGAGAGAGAAATTGAGAGAAAAAAAGGGGGTTGGGGGAGAGTTACCCCCGTTGCGATAAGAGGCTGCCCGCGCATTTTGCCTTCGTTAAATTAACATAGGAGGAGTAGTTAAGGTGTAACTAGGTCAGTACTTGACTACCGAGTGCCGAGTATTTATACTTATATCGCGTCTAGTCTAACTCTTTTCTTTTTCTTTTTTTTCTTTTTCTTTTTCTTCTTCTTCTTCTTTTCCTTTTTTTTTCTTTTGTTCCTAAATACACTCTACTACGGTCTATCATAAAGATGTCTTTCCTCATTTCTTTTCTTTTCTTTTCTTTTCTTTTCTTTTTTATTTATATATTTTTCTATTTTTTGTTTTTTTTTCTCTTTGATCGACACACGCTAGCTAACGTAGTGAAACGCGTTACGAGGGGTAGAAAATGCGTGACTGAAACACAACGTTATTCGTTTGTTAAACGCGCGTTTACTAAACGATTGATTGATTTTCGCTATGAATGCACTTAAGAACTTAGTCCAATTCCATTTGATTCGGTTGATTGAATTCATCGTGGTTTGGATTAATCTAACTCGGTCATTTATCTCTTCTTTGTAAACTTGTAAATATGGAAAGACAAAATAATGAGCGTAATTTTCGATACGATTCTTCGACAAAATTTATCTCTTTGGAATAAGATATAATAATCTTATAGTTATGAAAACGTTACACGATAATTAGTTATTTCTCTCGTCCAAAATTATAATTCTTAATACGGAATCACAGGGAACTTGGACATAAAAAGAAGTAGAACTTAATTTAACTAAGTTGAACGTTTCGTCCCTTTATTGGGACTTTTTCAGCAACTTAATTTTACAGTGTTGTTGAAAGTTGAAATCATAACGATTGAATATTTACCGAAGTTTAGATGTTTTGTGTTTGGAATATTAATAAAAAGAAAAATGTATGTCTACACAATAAAAAAAGACGCTTAACTGTAAAATTAAGTTTAAGTATTAAGAGTTACACGATAATATTTTCAATATAATAATGTAGAAATGTAAAAACGATAGTTTAAAAAAGAAGATTGATCTTTTGGAATATTCGCGAATCCGTTTGTATGGGGGTGGGATGGGGGGGGGGAGGGGTAGGGGAAAAACAAGTCAAGAAATTACGATTCATTGTCGTGGGATTTACTTTTGACGTTGGAACGAGAAAGAAAATAAACGGGCTTTAAAATGACGTTTCCCATTTTACGATCTGTATAACATGGCTAGGATCGATCGGACTTCTTCTCACACGAGTTTGAAATTGAAAGTCAAGCGAAACGCATTCGACAGTCGAATGGAATGAAAGAACAGAGAAGAACGATAGTGAGTGAGTGAGTGAGTGAGTGAATGGGTGAGATCGTTGAAACGTTTCGTTGAAATTTCAAATGGAAGGAGTTAGTGCGAAACTTATATCGCCCACGGGGGTTACCGAGTTTACGATCGGTTGCTATATAAAGTTCATGAAAGTACACCGCCCACGTACTTCGACCCTTATTTTACTCTCCTGTCATCTATTGAGGACTGACCATTATTGGGGGCTATCAATACGTTTC